GATAGCGATTTGAGAGCTAAGAGCTTATTGCAATCTGATGAGAGCTCGACCTGAAAGTCTAAGGCATGCGATTTGAACAATCTGATGCACACAATCTCTAGTAAACGAGCAAGCTTATGAGCTCAATCAGAGAGCATAAGGAGCTCGATCAGAGAGCATAAAGAGTTCGATTTGAGATCATAAGAAGCTCAATCAGAAAGCAAGGAGCTTGATCTGAGAACTTGAGATCAGTGATCTAAGCTCTTGGAAGCACGATCTAAATGACCTGAACGTGTGATCTCGATAATCTTGAATGTGTGATCTAAGCATACGATCTGCAATCTGGCCACGCAATCTAAAGCTAAAGTGATCTGAAGCTAAAGATCAAGACGATTTGAGCGTGCGGTCAGCGATCTGACCACGCTATCTGAAGTTAAAGATTAGCGATCTGAAACTGAAGATCAAGACGATCTGACCATGCGATCGGAAGCTAAAGATTAGGGCTGTGCAAAAAAATCCGATATCCGATATCCAATCCTAATCTGCTCCGAAAAAATCGGATATCAAAAAATTCGGATCGGATACGGATCGTAATTTAAAAAAATCTAAATATTCGAATCGGATACTGGGTCGGGATTGTTAAAAAAACAGATATTCGTATTTGATCCGGATTTTACTAAACTACGTCGTTTTGAGTTTTAAAATAACCCTAACAGTCTAACACAATTAAGTCAACTCTCTCACTCTCTGTCTCTCTCGCTCGAACACGCACAACCTCTCACTCTCTCAGACCAGATCTCATCTCAGTCTCTCTCGCTCAAACACGCACAGTCTCTCACTCTCTTAGACCAGATCTCATCTCAGTATCTCACTCTGTCACTCTCACTCTCTCGGTCTCTCTCACTCGAACACGCGCAGACATAGACACACAATCAGTTAGCCACTCAAACTCTCTCAGACTTAGATCTCAGTCTCTCTCGCTCGAACATGCACAGTGGCACAGACACATACACACAGTCACTCAAAACTCTCTCAAACTCAAATCTCAGTCTCTCTCGGTCTCTCAGTCTCTCTCGCTCGAACACTCTTAGATCTCAGTCTCTCTCGCTCAACTCTCTCAGATCTCAGTCTCTCTGACGATTGAAGCCCCAAATCAATTGTTGTCACAGCCTAGTGCGACTGCCACCACACCGTAATAGCCTGGTGCGATTTCGTGGTGCTTATTTCTTTTTTATTGTTGGTGATGGTTTGTTAATGGTACAATTTGATGGGTGTTTTTGTTTTGATGTTGATTTGAGTTTGATGTTAATGGCACCGTAATATGGTGCCTTTTCTCTTTGTCCCGGTTACAAACCTTCTATTGTTCATTAGTATTGATTTGCATTTCAAACCTATTACAAGGTTGATGGAGGCTGGGTTTGATTCAAACTATGTCGATTGGGTTTGGTTTTATGTGTGTTTCCAAAGATTGTTGGTGGCAATGTATAATTTATTCCTTATGCAATTAATTTTGTTGTTAATCTTAAAAATTGTTTATTGAAATGGTTTATTTGTTTTGTTTTGTTTTGTACAGGAGGATGATGACGAGTAGGAATTGGCAATGAAGATAGCATAGTCATTTAGGCTGTGACAGTGTTTGGACAACATAGGTTAAATGTTTTGTGCTTCATGTTAATTTTTTTAGATACTTTTATCATGAAAGGATGAAGATAGCATAGTCATTTAGGCTGTGACAGTGTTTGGACAACATATGTTAAATGTTTTGTGCTTCATGTTAATTTTTTTAGATACTTTTATCATGTAAGGGAATTATAATTTCAATTTTATTGCTAGAATTATTTGATTTTAGTAAGAAAATTTTAAAATTCGGATCAATTTCGGATATCTGATTATCCGATCCGAATAATCGGATACCTATAAAACCGGATATCCACATAATTCGGATCGGATTCGGATCAATATATAGTCTGATCCGAAAATTCGGATCGGATTAGGAAAAGCCCTATTCGAATCGGATATTCGGATTTGAATAGCCTTACTGTAAAGATTAGCAATATGAAGCTGAAGATCAAAATGATCTGAGCATGCGATCAGCGATCCGACTACGCGATCGGAAGCTAAAGATCAATGATCTAAAGCTGAAGATCAAAATAATCTGGCCACATGATCAGCGATCTGGCCACGCGATCAAAGAGCTAAAGATTAGCAATCTGAAGCTGAAGATCAAGACAATCTGAGCGTGCAATTAGCAGTCTGACCACGCGATCGGAGAGCTAAAGATCAGCAATCTGCGATCTGACCATGCTATATGAAGCTAAAGATCAGCAATATGAAATTGAAGATTAAGACAATCTGAGCATGTGATCAGCGATCTGACCATGCGATCAAAAGCTAAAGATCAGCGATCTAAAGTTGAAGATCAAAACGATCTGAGCGTGTGATCAGTGATTTAACCACACGATCGAAGAGCTAAAGATTAATTATTTGAGCGTGCAATCTGCAATCTAGCCACGCAATCTGAGCAATCTAAACGTGTGATCTCAACGATTTTGAATGCATGATTTGGATGATCTGAGCGTGTGATCTGTAATCTGACTACGCTATCTAGGTGATTTGAACGAGTGATCTCAATGATCTTGAACGCGCGATTCAGATGATCTAAGCATACGATCTACAATCTGACCACGTGATCGGAGAACTTTAATGTGTGCGATATGTGATCTGACCAAGTAATCAGAGTACTTTGATGCATGCGATATGCGATCTGACCATACCATCTGAGAGCTCTAATGCGTGCAATCTGCAATCTAACCACGCGATCGGAGAGCTCTGTTGCGTGCGATCTGACCATACAATCGGAGAGCTCTGATACATGCAATTTATGATCTGACCATGCCATCTGAGAGCTCTGATGCTTGCGATTTGCATTTGACCACGCGATTGGATAACTCTAATGCGTGCGATTTGCGATCTGACTACGTGATCCGAGAACTCTGATGCGTGCAATTTACGATCTGACCACACCATCTGAGAGCTCTAATGCGTGCGATCTGCGATCGGACCACACGATTTGAGAACTTTGATGCGTGCGATCTACGATCTAACCACGCCATGAGGGAACTTGGATGTAGGTTTGAGACCTGCATAGGCCACCAAATTGTTGATCCTTAATTTTGGACACCAAGGACTTACACGTGCAAAGTGCTAAGAGAGTCTTATAAATTATACGTGATGAATCCATGAGATTTGAATATCGTGCTGAGATTATATATGTTGCAGAAACATAAATAAAAGATTGGTAAAAAAGGTTTTTAAAGTGGTTCAGATGCTTAAAGTGAATCCTACATCTACTATTATTTTGCTATTCTCTAGCTATTTCTATGATATTGCCTGTAAGGCATACAAAGATGGAGAAAAACTGAGTTTACAGAGAACAATAATAAAGCTTAAATTTATGCCTAGCTCTCATATGCTAAACCTCTCCTTTTCGTGAAGAGAGGTGCTAGTTTATACACCTTTGACGTCAATGTAATGAGTGTATTTGTAAGTTGTCATGACATGTGGGAATCACTCCTTAATCTTTATCTTTTTATTTTGATAAAGTTGGGACAGGTGTGCGGTCCTCATCCACTCATAGACAAAACTTGACTCTACTGGGTTGGTGACAGCCATATCCCTTCTATCTTGGGGCGATGTGGCAGCTCCTGGATGACACAAAGTCTTCCTAAACTCTGATTGGTTGGTGCAGACATTAGTGCGATTTTTAAGGCACAACAAACTTAATTAAGTTTAAAAAAATCTTAATTAAAGCACAATTAATTAAGTGTATTAATTATTTAAATATTGAATGAAAAAATAATTAATTAAAATAACATTATAAAATTAAATTAAATATATAATATATACCGTAAAACTAATTAATTATGCAATATGTTAATATTTGTTTTTTTGTTTACTTATTATGTCAATATCTTTGGTATGATTATTATTGATAGTTGTTGAACCACTCCTTTTAAGTAAAACTATCGATTTAAAAAAATTGCTTATAACGCTCAAGATCGAGACATCAATTCATTGTTTTTTCGAAGTAAACTCAAAATCGTTTACTGAAATAAGTTTTATAAGATACTGATTCAACCCTCTTAATTAAATTGACAAAATCTTTAAGAGGTTAATTCAACTTCTTGCAGGAATTTTCTGAGAATTTGAGTTGAGCATTGAATAAACTGTTTCTTTTCTCATTTTCCACTTCCTTAATAGGTTCCCTTGCCTAAACTGAACGATCACTGCAATTTGTGATTTATACCTGTAACATTTGCCAGCTCTACATCAGCTTCTCATTCTTACATCATATCATCATGCACAGCTATCAGAGAGCTTTTGCGTTTCGTTCAACAGCCAGCTAAATCTCTCCCTCATGTTTATTCTGATCCAGCTTCCTTCCTTCAGAAGCTTTGCTTTGCTTCTGAACCTCAACACGGTATCTTGATTCTCTGTTGTCATTTTTCTTTTTTCTTTTTCCCCTGCTTAGTCATTTTCTTGCAATTTTAAGTTTTGCTGAAATTTTCTTTTTCCCAAGTTTTTGTTATTGTTAAGTTTGTTAATTATCTTATTAGTTTTTACTTCTGCATATTTTATTTGCTTTGTTCAGCGCTGCTTTTCTTGAATATATTTTACTTCTACAAATATTTTATAGCTCTTCAGAAATAAATCCATTTTTTTCAGAATCCCACAGAAAAAAAATTATTTGACGTACAGATCGTCTTAAATTATCTTAGTTTATAATTATTTCCATAATATCGAAAATTAAGTAAAAAATTTCAGTTTTGTTTGTGTCAATTTTAGAATTATTTCTCAATCTTTTTCTTCTTATTCTAAATATTTATTATCTTTGAAACATTGCTTATTCAACAAAGCCTAGTTGATTGTTGTCTGCTTTTCCTCCCTTAAATTTTGTTGTCTTTGGTCACTCTGTTCGGGTTCGTTTCGTTACACCAAAAAAAAAAAAAAAAAAAAAAGCAATGGCTGCTGAACTAGGTAGCGCTGCAGTTTCTGGCATTGCATCAAAAGCTGTAGAATCAGCGTTTGATTCCATTGGACAGCATATATCTTATTTGTTCAAGTACCAGAGCTACATCGATGATCTCAAGAATCAAGTTGAGGATCTGGGAAATGCAAGAGAGAGGGTGGAACATCAAGTTGATGAAGCTAGAAGACGAGGGGAAGTGGTTGAAAAGGATGTGGAGCAATGGCTGAAAAGAGTAAATGAGTTCACTGAAGGGGTTGTAAAACCCATAATTGGTGATGAAGATAAAGCAAAGAAGCATTGTTTTATAGGGTTGTGTCCTAATTTGATTCAGCGTTACATGCTCGGCAAGAAGGCAGGGAAAGCGTTACCAGGTGGTGCTGATCTGTCGGGAAAGGGGAACTTCAGTAGTGTTTCCTACCGTCCTGCAATACAGAGGACAGAATCTGTTTATATTAAAGGCTATGAGGCCTTTGATTCTAGGATGCTAGTTTTGCAAGAAATTATGGAAGCATTGAAGGATGCTAATGTTAGCAAGGTTGGTGTGTATGGGATGGCTGGAGTGGGCAAAACTACACTGGTGAAAAAAGTAGCTTGGCAAGCCAAGGAAGATAAGCTATTTGATGAGGTGGTCATGACTACGGTAACACAAACACCAGACTTTAAGAAAATCCAAGAAGAAATTGCTGATCAATTAGGCCTAACATTCCTTGAGCAGACTGTATTCGGAAGATCTCTTCGATTACGTGACAGGTTAAACAGAGAGAAGAGGATTCTAGTAATATTAGATGATATATGGGCTAAACTTGATTTGGATGCGGTGGGAATTCCTTATGGAGATATTCACGAGGGAATCGGCCAAGAAAAAGAAGTTTGGAAAGGCAGAAAAGATGATGAGAGGCGATACAAGATATTGCTCACGTCTAGAGATCAACACGTATTATGCAATCATATGAATATTCAAAAAAACTTCTTGGTTGATCTTTTATCAGAGGAAGAAGCATGGTATTTATTTCAAAAGATCGTGGGTGATTCTGTTGAAACCTTTGATATTCGACCTATAGCAGTAGAAGTGGTTGGGAAATGTGCACGTTTGCCGATCGCTATTGAAACAGTAGCAAAGGCTCTAAAAAGTAAGAGTCTTCCAGTTTGGGAGGATGCCTTGGGTCAACTAACAAGGTCTAATCCCAGACAAATTGAAGGAATGGCTGAAAGCGTGTGTTCTATTATAGAACTCAGCTACAATTTTTTGAGAAGTGAGGAAAAATCACTATTTCTTCTTTGCGGTTTGTTGAATACAAGTTGTGGTATAGTCATTAGTGACTTATTAAAATATAGTATGGGTTTGGATTTGTTTCGAGGTGTTTATACCCTTGAAGATGGAAGAAATAGATTGCTTACGTTGATCCATAATCTCAAAGCTTCGTCTTTGTTGTTGGATGGTATCACCAATTATTCCGTTAAAATGCATGACATCATTAATGCTGTTGTTATATCAATTGCATCCTCAGATGAGTTTATGTTTAATATTAAAAATGTTGGTGATTTGAAAGACGTACTGGAGCAAAAAATACCCAAAACTTCAACTGCTATAACTTTGCCTTATGGAGATATTGGCGATGAGCTTCCGCATAGTTTGGAATATCCGAAACTCAAGTTCTTTCTTCTATTCAGCCAAAATCACTCTCTGCATATCCCAGACCTCTTATTCCAAGGGATGAAAGAACTTGAAGTTTTGGATTTGACTGGAATTCATCTCCTGTCACCACCTTCCTCACTCCGCTGCCTAAAGAACCTTCAAACACTGTGTTTGGATAACTGCCTACTAGAAGATATAGCAATAGTTGGAGAGCTTAAGAAATTAAAAATTCTTAGCCTGCTGCGCTCTGACATAAAAAAGTTACCTGGAGAAATAGGACAATTGACTCGGTTGAAGATGCTGGATTTGAGCGAGTGCTCAAACTTGAAAGTAATTCCACCAAATGTCATTTCAAGCTTGTGCCGATTAGATGAACTATATATGGGCAATAGCTTCCTTCATTGGGAGATTGAAGGACTAATCAACAATCAAGAACAAAAGAATGCTAGTGTTCTTGAGTTGAAGCAATTGTCTTGTCTTACCACTCTAGAGATACACCTTCATGATCTCCAGATTATACCACAAGACTTGTTTTCAGAGAAGTTGAAAAGATATAGAATACTTATAGGAGATGTGTGGGATTGGAGATGGTCTGCTACTTATGGTGAAACCACGAGAATGTTGAAAATCAAGCTCAACAACAGTATTTCCTTGATCCATCGAGTAGAAATTTTGTTGAAGAAAACTGAAGAACTCCATTTAGAATTGAATGGTGTTAAAAATGCTATTGATGAACTTGATGAGGATGGTTTTGCACAATTAAAGCATCTTCATGTGCAAAATGGTCATGAGCTCTTGTATATTTTAAACTTTGTTCCTAGCAAAACTGTCTTCCCTATGCTAGAGTCATTATCTCTTCATAATTTGATTAAATTAGAGAAGATATGTCATGGCGAACTCTATGCGGAGTCTTTCAGCAAACTAAGAATTTTGAAGGTTGAAAAATGTGATATGTTGGAGCATCTCTTCTCGTTCTCCGAGGACATAAAGTTTTCGCAGCTTCAAGAAATTGAAGTCATTGATTGTAAGAACCTAAAGGAGATTTTTGGTGAAGAGAGTGTAGACTTAGTGGTTGAAAACGAAAGGAATGGTAAGTTTGAGTTCACTCAATTACGTTCCCTAGTACTACAATGCCTACCACAATTCATAAGTTTTGGCGTGAAGGTATATTTTCTCTTTTTCTTTTATTTTCTTTTCATGTATAAAAGGTGTTTGTAATTAGTTTCTTAAGTTATTTATGGAGCGAGATTTGCTTTTGCAGGTTGTTTTGCCAAGATTGGAGAACTTGAAACTGTCCTCAATTAAAATTGAAGATATATGGCTTGATCAACCTCAACCAATGTCTTCCTCTTTTCAATGCTTAAAAAGCTTAACTGTGGAAGAGTGTAATGGTTTGAAATTTCTGTTTTCATCCTCCATGGTCAAAAGTTTTATGCAAATCCAAAAGCTAGTGATATGCAATTGTAAGTCAATGGAAACAGTGATAGTGGACTCAGAAGAATTAGAAGTACAAGATAAAGTAATTGATATGAGTTTTCCTAAATTGTTTGACCTAAAGCTTGAGGGTCTTCCAAAACTCACAAGATTTGGCAGCGGAAATTCAATTGAATTTCCCTCCTTGATTAAACTTCACATTGAGAGTTGCTCTAATTTGAAGACATTCTTCCCCAATTTTTCTGGTGTAGACATGTTAAGAAAAGAACCTGAAGAAGTGAACTTGGAGGACCATATTATTGATGGAAATGCCCTTTTTGACGAAAAGGTAAAGTTAATTCTTCTTATTGAAATCTTCCTTGCCCGTTGGCCTCAAAATTTTAGCCTTTTCTGTACTTATTAATGCACCATTATTTGTAATTAATTAGTAGAAATTTGCTTATAGATATCCTCTTTTATTTTTGTATTTTAAAGAAAGACAAAATCCTTCTGACATCCTCTGATTTTTGGTGTCATAAATATGCCCAAAAAAAATTTACATGATGAGATGTATTTTGCAGGTTGCTTTTCCAAGTTCGCAGGAGATGATACTCTCACACTTAGATAACTTACAGTTGATATGGCACAACCAACCCCATGGATATTCCTTTTGCAAATTAAAAGAAGTGAGACTTGAATTCTGTGAAAAATTGATGACTATTGTCCCATCAAATTCTACTCAAGGACTTCTTACCTTTCACAATCTAGAAAAGTTAATTCTTAGAAGATGTTGGAATATGAAAAGTCTATTTCCAATTTCCATAGCTACTGGTCTTTTGCAACTTAAAGAGCTTATGATGATCTCTTGTGGGTTGGAGGAAATTGTTACCAAGGAGGAAGTAGATGGGACCCCCATATTTTTGTTTCCTCAATTAACCATCCTCCAACTTGACAATTTACCAAATCTCAAAGCTTTCTACATGGGATTGCATACAATAGAGTGGCCAATACTAAAGGAATTGTATGTGTGCAATTGTGAGAGAATAAAGGTATATGCTTCAGATGGAGAGAACCAACCTGCCCTGTTTTCATTTGAAAAGGTATGACTTCGTCTATTGCAACTAAAAAATGCAGCATAATCATTAAGGTTAATTTATGAAATTTCATTCTTTCTGTTATTATTTCATTTTTCTCTTTAAATTAAGAATGGATTTATATTAACGACTAGTCATGTTTTAGAGTAAGACATAAATGATTGATTTAGCTATTTAAATATCTATTTTTGTTAATTTATATAATTCTTGTACTTTAAAGTAGTTTATAATTGGATTGCCAGAATTATATTTATTTAAAACATATAAAATTATATAATTAATTGGAAACTTAGATGGTTAAAAAGTTACACCTATTATAAACTGAATTGCAACTTTCCTCTAAATTTAAAAACCTAACTCGTGAACTAATTGATGAATGTATATTCTTGCTTGTTCATTGATTTTCAGGTGATACCCAATTTGGAAATATTGGGTTTAAATGCCGAAATCAATACATCTAGATGCCTTGATCGTATTCCAACTAGAAGCTTTCGGAAACTTAAATTTCTTTTACTGGTTGAACTTGATAAGAAATCAATAGCATTTTGGTTTAGTGTTCTTAAAAAATTGGACCATCTGGATTCACTCTATCTATATGATAGTACTTTACAAGAACTATTCCCATATGAAGGATTTTTATGGAAACAAGATTCTCAAGTGGACACATTTCTTCAAAATCTCCAAACTCTATCATTAAATAGATGTCATCGTTTGACATATTTAATGTCATCCTCTACAATTTCCTTCAAAAATCTTAAGAATTTGGAAGTGTCCTATTGCAATGGATTAGTAAACATATTAAGGTGCTCAATAGCAAGAACTCTTGTTCATCTCACCACAATCAGAATAAGAGAATGCAAGTTACTGACAGAGGTAATAGCGACTAAGGTAGAAACAACAGAAGAGGAGATTGTTTTCAATCAATTGACAATTCTAGAGCTTCATTGCTTACCGAGCCTCACAAGCTTCTACTCGGCCAATTACGCTTTCGAATTCCCATGCTTAGAACAAGTAATTGTGAGTCAATGCCCCAATTTGAAGATCTTTTCCCAAGGAGACTTAAACACACCAAAATTAAATAGGATACAACTAACAGAGAAGATCGATGAAGAATATTTGTGGAACGGTGACCTTAATTCCACTATCCATCATATGTTTACAAATATGGTACTTACTCATTCCAAATCTTTTTATTTTCTTTTGCATTGTCGCTATATATATATATGACCACTGTCACTAATATTTTTTATTGTCATTATTGTATAATTTAAAAATGAGTAAGAATACAATGACAATGCCAAAATCATGAGTGCACGAGTTATTATCTTTGATAACTAGGCTATTAATATTTTATAACAAATGGGATTTTTTTTTTTTTTTTTTTTTTGGTTATAAAATGGTTTTTTTGTTAATATCTGATATTATATAGATCATTTTTTTGGGTACTATTCTACCTTATACAGTTATTATTTTCAGCATATTATATATAAACAAATAGTGCATCTCTTCTTTTCTTCCTGTCCATGAAGTTCCTTTTGCATTTGTTATTGTTCTATAATTCTAATTGAACATATAGAAATTATTCTTAGATTGTTCCACATATTGTGTACAAGTTTTAGGTGATTTTAATTATTGGGTACATTAACATCATTAAAATATAACATTCCTATTATTATATACTGGAAAGTGTGTTTTCTTTTTCGTTTTGTTAAAAAAAGACATTAATATGCTAAAAGAATAGTCTTCTCTTGTCCTAGGCATTATTTGTCCTTAAAACTCATTTTAAAATTACCCATAGTCAGTGTTTTATAACGAAGAACAATAGTACAAGGATGAAAACTTTTGTTAAGAATATGAAATTTGGAATAATGATCAACCAACCCCAACCCCCCAAAACCAACCACCCCCCCTCCCAAAAAAAAAGTCAAAATTTCAGTGACTTTGATATGAATTCATATTGTTATGCTTGAAATACTTTTTTTAATTATATTTTTGTATTGCTTTGGCCACTTCTAACAGGTTTTAACCAAATATTTTGTGTTTTTCTAGGTTGGTTTCCCCAACTTAGAACATCTAAAGCTCTCTGAATTCCCTACATTAGAAGAAAGATTTTGGAATGCCAAAGTTCCTACCAGGTTATTCTACAGTTTAAAGTTGTTGGTTTTGGACATATGTTTGGACACATCAAGTGCTGTTCCGTTCGATGTGTTATGCAACTTAAAAAATCTTGAAATATTGGAAATAAGAAGTTGTAATTCACTGAGAGAAGTGTTTGATATGGAAGGAAAACTAAATGCTGATAGACATACCTTGAAGAAAACTCATCAAGAAGTGTTGGACTTCAACAACCTGAAATCGCTTAAAGTTCACAATTGTTGCAACTTGAGATATATATTTACTGCATCTATCATTTTGCGTCTTGCTCAACTTAGAGATATGGAAGTAAAAAACTGTGCTTTGATAGAAGAAATCATATTGAAAGAAGAAGAAAAGGAATTGGACATTGACAAAATTATGATACCCCAATTGAACTCCATTATTCTTGAGTCATTGCCTAACTTGACAAGCTTCTATTCAGGAATGAATACTTTGGAATGTCCTGCCTTGAAAGCTATTACAATAACCAAATGTCCAGAGATTGAGACATTTATTTTCACTGATAAGAAGCACCAATCTGACCACATTGCTCCTCTTTTCAATGAGAAGGTTGGTATGATTGAAACTCTTTTATCACTCTTTTCATTTTATTATATGCGTTTACCATATGGTCATTAAAACCTTCTTGCTTGTTCATCCATTTTGAATTACAGGTCATGCCCAAGTTGGAATCATTGTGTTTAGATGACTTGAGACTAATATGTCACAAGACTCACAACCATATTCCATATGAGGGATTCTGCAAACTAAAAGAACTTCTGCTGGCTGAGTTAGATGATGAATCAATTCCATTTTTCTATGGCTTCCTCAAAAGGTTATACAATTTGGAAAGCCTTACTCTACGCAATAATAGTTTCAAAGAGCTCTTCTCATATGAAAGAGACGCGGTGAAAGATGATTCTCAAGTAGATTCATTTCTTCCATCATCTTAGAGACCTGAGAATATTGAGATGTCATGATTTGACACATTTATGGACATCTTCAGTATCTTTCACGAATCTCACGACTCTGCATGTATATTATTGTAATGGATTGGTAAACATATTTACAAGCTCAAATATCAAATCTCTTGTCCAACTCACAAAAATGACTATAGAAGACTGCGAGTTATTGCGAGAAGTAATAATAGGTGAATTTGAGCAGATAGAAGAAGAGATCACTTTTTGCCGATTGAAAACTTTGGAGCTTTCTTATTTATCAAGCCTCACATGCTTCTGCTCAACAACTTATGCCTTCAAATTCCCATGCTTGGAGCAAGTAACTGTGAGAGAATGCCCAAAATTGAAGATCTTTACTCAAGGAAGTTTAAGCACACCAAATTTAAATAGGGTGCTACAAATAACAAAAAGAATGAATACAGAATATGTTTGGAAGGAGGATCTCAATTCCACCATTCAGCAAATGTTTACAGATATGGTATTTACTACAAAATCTTCAAATCTTCTTTACCACCTTTGCTATATATATCAGTATATACGTCTTTACAATTGGAGTAGATTATATATGATTGTATAATTTATAGTACTCTTCCATATCTTGTGCATAATTATGCTGTTGAATTGATATTGGTAATAATATAAATATATATTAATTAAAAAATTATTTTATAAATATTTATCTGTAATATATTTGATTCCAATTCCCCTTAATAAATTAAATAAAACCAACCCTGTATCTTTATCACGCTAAAAGCCGCCACATTTCATCTTGTTCAACTCTCCACTACTACAGTCACCGGCGGTATTTGTATTTCAAGCGGAATCCAGCTCAAGCGGCACTGGTGTTTCTATCGAACGACGTCACAAGCCACAGGGCCTCCGTCACCGGCGGCACTCATTCTAGCACTCTCGGTCACAAGCGGCAGGTAAGCAAAATCATTGTGCTCGACTTTTAAACTATATTTTAAGAGTGAATGCTTTGTAAGTTTGTATAATCGTGATTTGATATTTGTGTTTTAGAACTGAAGCTTCGTTTAGTTGTGACTTTGTTCATTATTTTTTAACTGAAGCTTCAGTTTGATGTTTGATATTTTTGTATATAAGACATTTAGATGTTTTTGGTTAATCAAGTTGAGTGATGTTGCCGAGTTGTTTGATAAAATGTTTGAAAGAGATGCTTTTTTTTGTTAAAAGTTTTCTGGGTTAGCTCCATCAAGGATGATGCTTCATGTGCTGCCTAGGGGCTTTATTGATGCAAAGTATGCTCTTCTGTTCTATTGTTCTTTTGACAAATTCAACTATACCGTCAAATTTGACAAATTCTACTATTCATTTACGCATTAGCATGTGAGATTTATATCTGCATTTCTGACAATTTAGATATGTTGTGAATTTTTTTATGTGTAATTTCATTTTATGCAACTATACATATATATCATATTTTGACGATCACAATTTAATTTTCTAACTTGCTGAACAATTTTTTTTTTTTCCCCTGACATACATGGTATGAAATTTTTTCGTTTTGACTTCATGTTTGAATGTAACTGGAGCAATCTCCAGACAGTCCTAATAAATTGGCATATGCAAACTAACTATTGCTAAGCAAGTTTGAAATGGAGATATTTTTTACTAAATTCAATTTGAAAAATTATTTGGAAAAATTGATCTTATCTTGATTTTGAAATCTGTTTACCTTGCAGCAAGAGTGCATAAGAAGAATAAGTGCCTGGAATTTCAACCTTTAGTAAGTAGATTCAGTTGTCATATAATGGCTTTGTATTTTATTTCCTTACTGTTTCATTGATGTAAAACTTGCGTTCTTGTTTTGGCAATATCAAAAGTACTGTGTTACTTGCATATTCAGGATGATGATATACAGCAAATGGACAAGATCAAAATGGAAGTGGGAGGCAAAGCGGCTAAGATTGTTTTGGTGTTTCAGCAGGAAGACTATCCCCACAGAGGTCTAACCATTCAAGTGTGCTCCAAGTCAGGAGGTAGTATTTTCTAGATTTTTTTTTTTTTTTTTTTTTTTTTTTTCGCCTTAAGTTTTCATCAGATTTCCTCATTTTCCTTGAACTTGTTTTATGATGGCTTCAATGAGCTTCATGTTTTGGAGAATTCCTTTGCTTCATTTCCTATCAAATCATTGCAAGCACTTAAGTAAGGATTATTTCTGTCTCATCTTCATTGCTAACAGCTCCATCAATATCATTAAGCGTCTTCCAGGGTAGTGGAATGTATTTTCCAGAAATTTTCAGTTTCAAATTGTTTGTGAAATTGAGTTGAATGGAAAATGCAGACTTAAGAAATTTTTTTTTCCCCAATTCATTCTTGTTGATTTCTAATCATTATTGTTTTTATGCATTTGTGTAATATGAATGCAAATTAGGGAAAAAAAAAAAAAGATAGCATTTTCTTCCCTGTAATTATTTTTTTGCTTTTTTGATGTAGATGTTGTTTTGATTTTGGTGAGGATGATGAGGGTTCAAGTAGTCCTAGGTCAGTTTCTATTAAGACCAAGAAACTGGAAGGAGTGAGAGAGGGAATTCAGGGCAAACTAGCTCTTTACCATGTAATCCCATTTCTGAGAACAAAAAGTTTTTGAGTGGTTCACTAATACTCGTGAAGGAGATAGGTAATTTTGATTATAATTATAGTTGTACTTTCTTCTAATTTATTTGCTACCAAGAGGTTGTAGATAAAAATTTTCATTAGGTTAATTTTTCCTTCTTAGTTCACTTAAAGAAAAATAAATATTATACTGTCTATGTATAGCTTTTTCTCAATTTATCTGAAAATTAAACTTTTGAGACATTCTGCAAGCTTTTTCCAAAGTTGATTAGAATTCTTAGATAAATTATTTAGCTTCTTTAGATGATTTTTTTGGGGAAAATTAGAGTTAAACCTCCTTAAAAAATATTGGCTGCTTGTTCTTGAATAATGCAATTCTTAGATTCAATGACTCATAAGGAATTAGTCTTTCTGTGTTCTTCCATGTGTCACATATTTATTTGTGAATGTGCTCCGTAAATTTGCTAACGTGAGTTGTGCAACTCACTGTTCTCTTTATGGATGCATAATATAGTTGTACAGAGACACATTAAGCTCTTTGATCTATGCCGCCTTCAATTTTTGACCCTGTGGAAAGCATGATTTGAACTTGGGACAGAATTATTAGTGGGTTGCTTTGAACCTATGTTGCACGAAATGTCAGCTTAAAAATTCCAGGAGAGAAATATTAACATTAGAACAAGATATGGTTTTTGTGGTGACACATGATACACCACATCAAAATTCCTTCTTTATATCAAAAGCCTGCCTGCTGTTGTGACGTCTGCACAAAGGTAGAAATATATATTTTTTTTTTGGGTGGTGAAATTTTTTTTTTTTCTTTCCATGTCCATGACTGAAAAGCTTTGCTATGTCTAATAAATAAGTTTGGTCTCTTGAAATTATTTTGAGGGGATTCTCTACAGCCAAAATATAATCTGAGAGGAACTATGGTGGTTCATTGTTGTATCACAACAGGACAGACTCAAGTAATTTTCAGGTATTTCTGTTGTGATTCATTTGCTTTATAATTTCTTACTAAATTAGAGGCATTATTACTTGCTGCTTTATACTTTATGATGAATCTTGTATTACTGTGTTGCATCTGATTATGCAGCAGAGATACATCAGGAGCATTGGTCTAACACAAAGGACGCTTTAAAGTTACTTAAGCAGATCTGAGCCCCAAGGTATATTTGCAGTAGCAGGAGTTGATTTTGTGGAAAGCATCATGTAAACTTGGGACAGAATTATTAGTTGGTTGCTTTGAACCTATGTTGCACAAAATGACGCTTAAAATTCTAGGACACAAATATTGACATTAGAATAAGATTTGGTTTTTGGTGGTGACACATGATACACCATATCAAAATGTTTTCTTTGTATCAAAAGCCGGCCCTTTGTACAAAGCTATAAATTGAATATATATATATGTTTCTTTTTTTTCCTCCTTTCCATGTGCTTTAGTGAAAAGCTTTAATTATGTACACTAAATAAGTTTGGTCTGTTGAAATTATATTGAAGGGATTGCTACAGCCAAAAAAATAATCCAAGTGGAACTACAGTGGCCCATTGTTGTATTGCCAAAGGAGAGAGGCAAATCATTTTCAGGTATTTCTGTTGTAATTTATTTGTTTTATAAGTTCTTACTATCTAAATTAGAGGCATTATTACTTGCTTTATAATTAATCTTCTATCACTGTGTTGTATTTGTTTAAACAGCAGAGGATACATCTGTAGTAGTGGTCCAATACAAGGGATTCGTTAAAGTTACTTTAGCAGATCTGAGCCCCTAGGTATATTTGCATTACCAGGCTATGATCTAAGTTCGGGATGACTTACCCTTTAGTTGATATTGAAGTATCCATTAGTGCCGTGTTGCTTCCTAAAGAGATTCAAAGTCTTAACATATACGATCATCAGTTATGTACATGTTATTTTAATGGTCATTTATCTAATTAGGATAATAGTAATAATAATAGTAAAGAGCAATTTTACCCTATCACCTATAAAATCGCAAGGCAGTCCATAAAAATGAGAAATGATGGTTAATTTTACTGATAGGAGATTATGGGGTTCGCAAGAGTATTCTGCTCTTGAGTTTTTCTTCTAATGCTTATGAGGAGTTGACAATTTTTTTATTTTTTTTTCTTATTTTTTAGCAAGAGCATGTCATTGAGTTTCACTTTTGGCAAAAATATCTTTATTTTATGATATTATCTATTAAGATCATCGTGTAATATATATTTTAGCAAACTATAAATGTAAGTTCCTCGAGTATTATTGATTATATGTTTACGATGAAAGACAATATCTATTATGAAGAATATAGAGGAGGAAAAATGAATTCTATTAGATCTTACAAATGAATATAGAGGTTGAACTAGTCTAGTACCTCACTTCATTCTAATGGGCTATTCAGATATTTACAAAATAAATAAAGTGTTAAATTGTTAATAACTTGGGCTGAGCCAACTCAACAATCTAAACTATGGATGCAATTTGAATTGTCAGTTTTGATATATCAAAATGTTGTTAAACACTCCTTGAACTAAACATTTATTTTGTATATTAGCTATTATAATATCTTATGAATTTGCATATTGTAGTTTTAAAGTATATTGGCCTCTGTTATCATAACAGAGCTCACCATACTTTAGAAAAATGTATTTCCATGTTATTAAGTTAAATTCTTTGGACACTGAGCAGATATCTGCTTTTTGATCTGGAATGATGAAATTCTGGAGTACGTTGCAGAATTGGATTTCAAAAGTTATGTGTGGTTGAAGATTTTAGCTGGACTCCTACAGTTGCAAAAGGTTTCTTCACAGCTTCATGAAATTTTTCAAGTGGTGTTGGTGCTGAAGCCTTTTTCAAAGGCTATGATTTGCAAGCCTGTAGGAATTGTTTGTAGTTTTTTGCTAATATTTCATGTTACTGATGTGGAGGCTAAAAGGAAGTTTTGATTTCAGAGTTCAGATGTATATTTTCTTCTTTGAAAGTCTTGTTTCTGCAGCTAATTTTCACTTTCTATGTTAAAATTTAACTGTTTTCACTTCTGACAATGGCATAAATTCATTATCCATTGAGCAGTTATCAATGTTTCTTGTGTTTGGTGGACAGATGCTCTTCTAAGAATGGCATAAATTTGGAGCTCCATTTTGATTCCAAAGATCGCCTCATTGGACATAAAAATGTAACTTTTCATTCATCTTGATGCATACATGTTCGTCGTAAATTTTTCTTTTTTATATTATTTTTATTATTATACTCTTAAAGAGTTTTACATTTGAACATTTTGATCATATGGGTTTTTATTCTCTACTCCTTTAGAGAAAGAAAGTTCAATCGCTCCCAAGTTTTGGGAAAGTATGGAAAACCCCCCCAAAACCCAATTCTCATTAAAACATTAGGGGGTAGAAAACAAAATCCCCTTCGCAAAAATCAATTCCTTGTCTTTCATGAACTATCGAGTTTTGCTTTTACAAATTCTTTTATATTTTAAAGGAATCGGTTAATAGGTATTTAAAACGTATAATAGAAGAAATAAAAAACGAAACATATTTTTTTCAAGTTTATGTATTTTATAGTTTTTCCTTTTATTAATGTATGTTAATTATTGTTGATTAATTTTAGGATGAATGTCATGGGAGGCGAATGAAATTCCTATATATTAATAATCATTTTTTAATATTATATAGTTAATTATATTAAGATTTTACAATTCTTAATACCAATAACAGTGATAGACTTAAAAATTTATGCAGAGAGGATAAAATAAATATTTAAATAACATTGCGTATAATATAGTTATTAGTTTATTAATGCTTATAAGGTATACAACTAAATAATCAGTACATATTGTGGAATTTAGGGATTGCAGAAGAATTGAGAGCAAATTCATGTTGAAAATTTTATCAAGTTTCGATAACTACAAAGAATATTAGAGCAACCGTTTTATAACTGTTTTTAGAGCTCCAAAACGACAGCACGTTGAGCTTGTTGACTTAGTTGAAACGACAGCACTTTGAGCTTCTAGATTTAGTTGAAACGACATCACTTTAAGTTCCAGAGTAAAAGATCATTCAACAGCCCCCTTTAGGCCTTCAAGCTAAACTGTGCTTACAGTTTTAGCTTGCTTGACAATTCCTAAAAATGACTCACCAGCCCCCTTCAAGCCAAACTATGCTTATAGTTTCAGCTTGACATTTTTTCTGAGACCAGTCAGTAACAGTAACAGTTGTAACATTATCTTCTTCAATACATTTTAAAACTTAATTATCTTTTTGTTACATTAACACAATTTAGATAATTATTTTTCGTGTTTTGTATAATGATTTCACAAATAATTTAGACGTGAGTAATGCAATTTATACATGGAGAAGAAAACGATGTCCAATTAGTGTCTATATGGGTTAATTTAAAGTGATTTTATTTTTCATGCTTTTTATAATTTAGAATTGAGTAATTCAATTAATACATTAGAAGACAAAGATGTCTAAATATGGTCTAATTTGGATTCATTTAAATTATTCAATTAATATGAACACAATGTCTAATTACATCAACCACTCGACTTGGGACCCGGTCGCCTGACTGGATCATATCCTGGGTCGTGTTTCAAAACATTGCTCATGTTCAATCTTTTGATTATTTTTTCAGTTCTTACTAATAATAAATGATACAGATTATGCCAATCTGATAAAGAGACACAAGATTTAAAAAATACAGAAAACACTGTCTTTTATAAAATGATTAAAAGACATAAATACCTACACTAATATTTAAAGAAATTTAAAAAAAAAAAAAAAAAAAAAAGACAGTGTCACAAGAATCAATTGTCAGTAAAGCTTCCAGTAACACCACCAGCGTGTGTGAGATGGTTAGAAGGCAAACTAGCCGCTAATGCTAGCACCAGCAGCAGAAAAAGGCCAACGTGGCAACAACGTTTTCGTGGGTGAGATGGCCAGAAGGCAAACTAGCCGCTGATGCTAACACCAGCAGCCAAAAAGCCGCAATGTGGCAACACCGCTGGCGTGAGTGAGATGGCCAGAAGGCGAACTAGCCATCTATGCTAACACCAGCAGCAAAAAAGCTGGTGTACATCGCAAAAATGTAGAGAATTAAGATTGGACCATCCAAACTTAATTAAGTGCAGACCAAACCACCAACTAAGCTTTTGGTCTGTACAAATGTCTGCACTGCATGCATACAGATATGCATACTGCATGTAAATTCTTTTCAAATTTAAATAGTAATTCAACAAGAAGTTGCCATGTCATTCATACAAAGAATGGCATGCATTAAATTTGATTAAACTTAATCCATGCTAGTCATTAAACACATTCAGCACAAGCAATAGCTTTCAACAAGAATCAGGAAATTAAGTAGTTGCATCAGCCATATATATTGGCTAGTTTTTGAAAGTACGAGTACCAGAAAAAAAAAAAATTATCATCTACTTCGATTAGTTGTCTTATGATTGAAAGCCACAATGCAAAATGAACGTACTGCAATCAAAATACTCAAAATTATTACCTTACATTAGCTGTGCCTATTGTTAATGTATACATAAGATGCAAAAAACCACCCACAACTTCGTATTTAAAAGTCTGCAGCAAGAAAGTTGCTAGAGAGCGATACCTGCATTTATACATCGACTCCCATTTCATAAAACAAGTAGGTGAAAAAGAGAGAGAGAGAGGAAAAAAAAACAAAGAACAGAGCACTTAAATATTTTCCATACCTTGTCTCCCAGTTTGAATGGCGGAAGACCCTTGTAAGGGCATGTGCTGCATCGAAAAGCATCCCCTAATCCACACTGTAAAGTGCATAATCTGTCAAAGAGCATCAATTGATCAAACACAAGCTACTAAAACAATGATAGATGAACAGAAATTTGGTATGCTTACACGGATAACAACAAATATCCATATGATAAAACTAAACTTGAATCTAAAATCTAAAATCGGTCAATAAAAAATTTCTAATAAAAAGAACAAAAAAATCTCAGACCATTGACCCACCGAGCCCAACACATATCAACCCAGACTAATGACCCTTTAAGCCCATCTAAGTATGGCCCAAGCCTAACAACACCCAGATAAAAGAAAGTCGAATCGCCCCAAGCCCATTGTGAGTTTGCAACCTTGGGAAATCGTTTGAGTTTAATGGAGTTTTAACTTACTAGTTTGATTGCTTTGGGATTGAATTATTAGGATAATTTTTTGGCTCTTGTCTTGGACTCTTATTGAATGAAACAAAAAAAGGCCTCTTGCTTCATGTAACTGCATTAAGAAGCCCTTTCATTTCTACAATAATACTGGGAGACCTCTTGAACCTGAAGTTTCTCCAAAGTACAGCTGAAGGAACTTCCAACTTTGCACTATGGAGGATTTTGTATGAATCTTGTAGAAGAATGTCATAAGCATTTGTCTTGGAATTCGGTTCCCTGTCCCGCATTGCTTCTTGGAATTCAGTCTGAAAAAACCATCTCGCCATAGCTTTTTTTGACCTAAAAAATACATTGATCATAAGGGTTAAAAATGACGAACAAGCAATATTCATCTTCTAATTTTTTTTTAATTTGGTGTGTTAATGGGTTAGTTGCATAGATGCTTGGTTCTTCCTATCATTAAAATACAATTCCTTCAAGATGAGTAAACGATGCATGTTCAGAACCTCATCAAGGGAAGAAGCTCTCACCTTGGACAAGCGCTCAAAAAATAATTCGTCTAGCAGTAGGCACAGATTGCATACAATGTAAACCACATATACAAATATACCAATGCCATAGTACAACAAAACACTATACTTTCTCATCTGCCACTGCCCTTTCTAACAATCCACGGATATGTGTTTTGTGCCTCCTCGGCTTATTGCATTAAAGATCTAATGCTGATATCTACCAAAGTACTAAAGAGTTTTGGACTGCAAGGATATATCTACAGCCTATGCAAGATGAACTCCCAAAAGATATACTAAACTGCTTATAGTCTCTCCAACGAATCCTCATATTAAAGTTAACGTGAAGTGATCATCTAAAAGGAAACCCAAATTTGGCCACTATGGTATAACAAAACTTCAGTTTCTACGGAAATTACACATATCTAATATTGGAAAATATCAGAATTTGACCCATTCCTCAAGTTTCTTTTGCTTACCTTCATTTTTAAGTATGATTACACTGAAATACTTGAGTCTTAGAGTCTGACAAAAGGATGCAAGATTCAAATAGTCCACCTGCTTTCCATTGAAAAATAAAAAATATACAAAAAGTACTCTTAAAAAAATAAGATATAAAAGTGGAAAAACTAATTTCTAAATGATAGAAAAGCGGTCAAACTCCCAGTCGCAAAGTATTTCTGACGGTCAAATACAGGAGGCTAAGACATCTCACTTCAAGTTACGTTACTTTAAATTACAACTTCATACATTACACTACAAGGAAGATGAGTGAAAATAAACTCTTCAAGACAGGTAAAATTTAACCCTTAGGACATAGATATCTCAAGTTCAAGAATCTAAAAATTATCAATTAAATTAAAGAGGCTGGCAGCTTCATTCTCCTCTCCTCTTGTTGAAAACACACTGATTATGAGTTTTGCAAAAGTGGTGAGTTTGTGGAAGCCCCACACACCCACTGGGTTGTATATGATGCTGGGATCATCAACAGAAAGTGATGTTAGATTCGTGGGCATATCTTGTTCTTGAAAGAATGTGCAAGCCCCACCTATTACAAGTATCCTCTCTATTATCCCAATTTTATACAATTTTCTACCAAGAGGGTTTTCAGAAATGAAGGAAGTTGGCCTCTTAGAATGAATATTAGAGAAGGACTACCATCAATCTTAAGTGTTCAATGCATGTATTGTTGCACTTCAATCATCTGGAAAAGAAACAAGAATCCTTATTTAAGAAAAGCACCTGTCTAGCAAATACAACCGACTAGATTTTGAGAAAAACT